CTGGACTAGTGCTCTTCTATAGTATTCTTATAACAGCCTTTGACTCACGGGCAAGCGATTTCTACTCGTTATTCTTCAATAATCCTCCTGATCAACCCTGTATTATATCAATAAAGCGGTAAAATTTACTCTGCGTCCTCACAACGTATATTCGACGTCTTCACAAGGTAAGCCTTTAATTAAAGTTCTGCTTGATCTTAACACAAGGCTAAACCTTCCAAATCTAAACGACTCGATAAAGGAAAGGAATAAATTTTTCACAACAGTCAGATTTGATTCAATTTTCATCCCCTTTTTTGTTCAATTGTGAACCAAGGCTCTTAGCAGCATCCTCATACTTTTGGCATAACTGACGCCCTTACGAGCTTCCACCGTAATAAGATAAGCCTTTGTTAAAATTTCTTGTGTACCTATAACTCATAGGGAAACCTTTCAAACCCTTCACTCCGCAACAATATCTAGTGTAACTACAACACAATACAACAGAAGCCAAATAAACTTGCTACAAGCCAACCCCTTAAAGTTTCTGCTTATTCCTGACCATTGACTAACCACAACAAAAACAATTCACGACACCATTTGGATGAGCATTTATGAAGACGATACTTGAACAATACGTAACAGAAGTAGTGACTGGTCGTTTGTGTCAAACTCTCTTCCACGACTTTTATCCGGTAAGTTCTATTTCATTTACTTCGGTTGAAAATTTCAACTGCTTCGCAAAGTATCACGTTATGAGAGATTTTGGAATTTCACGACGAACCTATAAATAAGCACTTTTATAAATTTTATATATAAATAAGCTCTTATTTATCAGCTATGAAAGATCATATGAGAATTCATACCGTTGAGAAGCCGTACGGTTGTCAGGAATGCAGCAAAAGCTTCTCTCGTTTATCAACTTTGAAAAATCATGTGAGAATTCACACCGGTGAGAAGCCGTACAGTTGTCCAATATGCAATAAAACTTTCAGACGAAGACAATATTTGCAACGTCACATAGTAACTCATGACAGGAATAGGTGAATCTCCATCCGCACTGCCTGCATTAAAGGTTTCCCGAATAATCGTTTATTGGCATTACACAAGAATCATGAAAGAAACTGAAAGGCACATTTTAAACTAAAATACGCGTTGTTTTGTTAATTACAAGTTATATTTCTACATTTAGTTTTCATTTTAATGATAACATTAAGTTCTATTGTTGTTATTTATCGCTTGTTTATAAGTTATTCATTTTTTATCTCATATGCATAATAGTAGCGTTCTTTTTCCATCCCTTTGCTGTTTTTTCATTTTAGTGAATAAAATATCAGGTTTATTTTTTTTCCCACTTTTTTTCCTTTATGTCTATGCACATGTCTTTGTTTAAAAATGTCTTTGTTAACAATTGCTTAAAATAGCTAACTAAATACAAATCGGATCTTCTCTTTTTTGTATCCTTTTGTTCGATGGGCATGTTTTATGTTATTTGGCTCTCAACAGTTTACGGTTTTTAATATCACCACCTCTCACTTCTTAA